TCAAAACCCAGGGCTTTTTTTGTAGCAGGAACCCATTTGCATGTTAGGCCACACACCCCTAATGTAGCCAATCCTAATGAGTTTCTGCTCTTGGGTGTGGCCTATTATGCTAATGAGTTTCTGCTGGGCGTGGCCAACTTCGAAGCCAGCCGGAACTCCGTTCCTGTGTGTTCCTGCCCAAAACTAGCCCTGGACATTTGGACTGCAAGACAATCGACGTTGAGTTGAAAAATGGGAGAAGGGGAATGGTTCTCTGGCATTCTAGTTTTAGTATTCTGAGGTTTGCGAGGGACCTTGTAGAAATGGGCGAATGCCACCGAGAATAATAATAACCCCTGCCTCGCTTTTCCTACGCCAACATAACCCTTAATCCAACACAATCCTCCTGCAGGACTTCCCGTCTCATGCCACTGTATGCCATTAAAACTGCCATTGGTGGGGTGGGAGACCCATAGCCAAGTGCCACTGTCGCATGCCCCTTGTTTGACTAGACCGGGGGTCCCCCAACCTTTTTCAGCCTGCAGGCACCTTTGGAATTCTGACCGCATGGTTGGGCGCAGCCGCAAAATGGCTGCCACAAAGGGCGGAGCCAGCCACAAGATGGCTGCCGCTGTTTGCCTTCGGTCACACAGTGAAGACCCTTCTGCTGTGGTGGTAGCCACTCCCACAGCAATATTTTTAAAAATCTGCACAGCCCATCAGATCTCCAGTGGCCGATCAGAAGTCTTGGTAGGCAAGAGCCCCACCGGGCCCGCTTTCTAAAAGATGTTGATGATTTTGGATTCATACCCTGCCCTTCACTCGGAGTCTCAGAGCGGCTTACAAACTCCTTTCCCTTCCCCTCCCCACAACAGACACTCTGTGAGGTAGGTGGGGCTGAGAGAGCTCTTGACAGAACTGTCCTTGAGAGAACAGCTGTGACAGAACTATGGCTTGCCCAAGGTCATCCAGCAGCTGCAAGTGGAGGAGTGGGGAATCAAACCTGGTTCTCCCAGATTAGAGTCTGCACAGTTAACCACTACACCAAACTGGCCACTACACCTGGCAGGTAAGGTGTCCCCTGGTCTAGACTTACCAGAGAAGGAAGAAAACAGGCCGACGGTTCCTCTAAGCCAGCGTTCTGTCTCTCGCAGTAGCCAACTTAGACGCCTCAGGGAAGCCCGCAAGCAGGACAGGAAAGGGAACAGCTTTCCCCCTCCGCGCTGTTGTACCTCAACGCAAGTAATGCTCAGAGGTTCTGTTTCACCGTAACAAATCCCAGCCTTTGATAGTCTTATTCCCAGGACTGTTGTTTTTAAGGTCTGTCACATCTTGGTGCCAGTTGAAGGTTTGTTTGTTTTTTAACTCCATGATCCATCGCATCCACTAAAAGGAGATGGAGCTTTATCGGGTGGCTAGTTGTGAATTGTCACTACACAACCGACCGGCCCTCGAAGATGCGCCAAAACAGAAACGAAAGGGCTATTTATGGATATGGCGGTCTTGCGGATACACAACAGATTCAGCTGTTCGGAAACCAGGGTTCCACGTAACAGAAAGACACTACTGTGGTTTCAAACATTCGGGACCGTTTGATAAATGACGTGAGAGATGACGTGTGGCCGGGAGCCGAGACGTGACGGGCGTTTCATCCAAACGACAATATCGTTGTGTTGATATCTTGATATAAGTGTTCTAAGCTGTGTGGCTTTTGTGGAGTGAGGGGGAAAGAAAGGGTATGTGTATTTCATAAAGATTTTTTTTTTTTAGGAGAAAAATACTCTGGTGGTGTTTTTTTAAAAAAATGTACAGTATGTATTGTGGTGTCACTGTTTGCGCTGGTTATTAATTTTCCTAGTCACTGTGGGTTGCTAATTCCTTAAATTATTAATTTATTCTTTGTGAAGTTTTTAAAAAAAAAAAAAAATTATTTGACACACTTATCCTGTAAAACTGATCTCGTGCTTAACTTAGATAATACCTTCGTTTTGCAGTTAATAAATGTGATAACATGCCTGAAAACTGAGTCCCCAAATCTGTGTTTTTAACCACCACAATTCCGGGGGGTGGGGGTGAGTTGCCAAGTGATCAAAACAGATAGTAAACTTTACTTAAGTAAAGTTGCCATCTCTGGGTTGGGAAATCCCTGGAGATTTGGGGGGTGGAGCCTGCGGAAGGGCGGGGTTTGGAGAGAGGAGGGGCCTCGGGATACAATGCCATTGCGTCCACCCTCCAAAACATCCGTTTTCTCTAGGAGAACTAATTCTGGTTGAATGGAGATAGATTGTAATAGTGGGAGAACTCCAGGTGCTACCTGGAGGTTGGCAACCTATCTCCAAAAAGGAATCCCTGTGGACCTCAAACAGAACCCCGTGTCCTCCCTTGGCACTGTGGAAACTGCACCCAGGAATTATGGGAAATGGGAGGTCCAGTGTACTTCAAGAACACAAGCAACTTATTCTGTACAGGAGGGAGGTTGGAGGGAAGAGGAAATGGGCATAAAGAAATCCCTGCCACTTCCCATCATGCTCTGGGGTTTTGTTCATATGCACCCAATGACCCCATCAGAGGGAGGGTGGGGTCCTGTGGTAGGGTGGCCACCTCCACGATGGGAATAAATAGAAGAAGAGAAGAGAGAGAAGAGATTGGATTTATACCCCGCCCTTCACTACCCAAGTACAGTGGGAGGGCTTCTAATGTCCTGGCCCCACTGGTGGACCTCCTGATGGCACTGGTATTTCTGGCCACTGTGTGACACAGAGTGTTGGACTGGATGGGCCTTTGGCCTGATCCAACATTGGCGTCTCTTATGTTCTTATGTTCCAGGGAGTCTCAGACCGGCTTACAAACTCCTCTCCCTTCCCCTCCCCACAACAGACACCCTGTCAGGTAGGTGGGGCTGAGAGAGCGCTGACAGAAACTGCTCTTTTTTCAAGAACAGCTCTTATCAGAACCATGGCTTGCCCAAGGTCATTCAGCCAGGTGCAAGTGGAGGAGTGGGGAATCAAACCCGGTTGTCCCAGATTAGAATCTGTGCACTTAACCACTACACCAAACTGGCTCTCAATAAGTAATAAGGGCAGGCCTTACACTAAGTCAGAACTTTGGACCTTGTACCTACTCTGGAAGAAGAGGAGGAGAAGACTGGATTCATACCCCGCCCTTCACTACCCAAAGGAGTCTCAGAGCAGTTTGCAATACCCCTTTCCCTTCCCCTCCCCACAACAGACACCCTGTGAGGTAGGTGGGGGCTTGATAGAGCTCTGAGAGAAACTGCTCGGAGAGAACAGCTCTGAGAGAACTTGTGACTGACCCAAGGTTGCACCAGCAGCTGCACACTAGTATCTCGGGCAGAGAAAAACCTTTTTAATCCGAGATGGTGGGGATTGTATTTGGGACTATGCGCATGAAAAGTGTGACCTCTGTTACTGAGCCAAGGCCCCTCCTTTCTCGATGCAAAGGTTTGGTAAGTGACTTTCGCTTGACAGACAATAAACCAACAAGAGCGAGAAGAGAAAAACCACCACAGAATCGCTACGGAGGCCAAAATCCCTTCAGCTTTGGCATAGGATATATTAGTTTATTTCATTGTACAGAAACTTAAAATAATTCGATTTCGGGCAATCAGTGAGCTGAGCTCTATAGCTGGGATTCCCCCGGAGCTAAAAATTTCCTGGGTTACGGCCATGGGTGTTTGACGATTAGCTAGATACACATAATATTGTCGGCTTCTGCCACTGTAAACTTCAGACAAATGGCACGACCCATACACTGAAAAGAGGGTTGGGGGTACATCATTCCAGCTAAGGGAGTCATCTCTGGTGTTGCTGTTCCTTTAAAAAAATTCCCCACGGAGAACAGATAGGTCAGGACCAGCCTTAACGTGAAGCAACCCCAGGTGACCATCTAGGGCAGCACTGGGGTAGACAGCGGCTCTTTGCTGTAGCAGCCAACAGGCATAAATTCATCCTTCCCAGAAGAGGGAAGCATAGCTAGGGAAAGGGAGGAGAGGATAGAGAAGGTCTCTGTGATGGTCCACATCTCAGGGCCAGGCAGAGGCTTGCCAGGGGCCCACTTATGGCGGGCAAACTTCCCAGCAATTTTGGCCGCTGCCCACCGACGGCTGGTCGGTGGGCAGAAATGGGCCGGCCAAACGGGGGGGGCGGTGCTCGTTGTCCCTGTTTGATGATGTCATTTCTGATGAGACGTGGAAGAGCCAGCATCGTGCCTGGGCAACATTCTAGCGCTTGCCCCCAAACTCTATGGTTTCCACGGAATTCAGGGGTGAGTGCTAGAGCATCGCGCTAGTTGTTCCGGGTCATGCGGCATTGACATGGCTGCACAGGGACGAAGATCGCACCCATGCCCCGAGGTAAGTGACAGCCTCCCTCCGTCTGGCAACCCAAGCCAGGCAGGATACGTGAAGAAGGGTCCCTCAGATCCAAGAGCCGATGGGCTAAAGGGGATATCACCGAAATACTGCATCTTAGCGCCGAAGCTACCCAAGGCCAGCCTGTGATCCTCACAGTTAACTACCCGGCCTACTGAAAACGACATTTTAGACAGCATCTTCCTGATCTGGAAAAGTATCACAACAGAATTTGGTGTCGGAGAAACGCGGGGAAGTTTCCTTGAGTCACCGACCAAGTTCATCTCTTGCAGCCTTTTGCGGACGACGGGAAATAGGCCCCTGTGGCGAGGTCACAATGTGGAATTCAGGGAAGCAGAAATGTCCCTTGTAGCATATTTCGCACTGTTCACTGAACTGTGCTATGTCTTCCGCTCCTGCAAACCTGGGAACTGTAATTTGGGTCCGCGGGGAGCTGAGGATCCTCCTCATCTCCTCTCAGAAACTACAGTTCCCAGAATTCCATGCAGGGGGTGGGGCTGACATGTAAACCACTTCACCTGTGTGATGCTCTCTGGCCACCTACGATCAGGAACACAGGGCCAAAGGGCGGCCTCCAGAGGACCCCTTTGCTACGCGGTTACGGAGTTCTCGTGTTGGCAAAACGGCGCCATTAAAAGACAAGTCCGTGGAAGGAGCTCGGTCCACCTCCTCCGGCAGCGTGACCGCACCCCCCTGAAGAGTCATCTTCATCATTATCCCCTTCAAAGTCTTTCCACCACAGGGGGGATTTGGGTAGCGCTGAAATGTAGGCCGTTCTGCTCCGCGCTTCTTTCTCCTGCTCCTGTGAAGACATAAGAACACAAGAAGAGCCGTGCTGGATCAGACCAGTGAGGGTCCGTCCAGTCCAGCATCCTGCCTCTCGCAGTGGCCAGCCAGTTCCTCTGGATGGTCAACAACAGGGCAGAGAGGCCGAGGCCTTCCCCTGAAGTTGCCTCCTGGCTCTGGATATCCATTGTGCCTATCCATCATGACTAGTAGCCATTGATAGCCCTGTCCTCCATGAATCTGTCCTCTCCCCTTTTATAGCCTTCCAAATTAGTGGCCATCACCACATCCTGTGTCAGCGAGTTCTACCATTAAACTATGCACTGTGTGAAGAAGGACTTAAAAACATAAGAAAGGTCCTGCAGGATCAGACCAGTGGTTCATCCAACATCCTGTCCCACACAGTGGCCAACCAGTTCCTCTGGAGGGCCAACAACAGGGCAGAGAGACCAAGGCCTTCCCCGATAAGAACACAAGAAGAGCCCTGCTGGATCAGACCAGTGAGGGTCCATCTAGTCCAGCCTCCTGTCTCACACAGGGGCCAACCTCTGGAGGGCCAACAACAGGGCAGAGAGGCCGAGGCCTTCCCCTGATAAGAACCTCAGAAGATCCCTGCTGGATCAGACCAGTGAGGGTCCATCTAGTCCAGCCTCCTGTCTCACACAGGGGCCAACCTCTGGAGGGCCAACAACAGGGCAGAGAGGCCGAGGCCTTCCCCTGATAAGAACCTCAGAAGATCCCTGCTGGATCAGACCAGTGAGGGTCCATCTAGTCCAGCCTCCTGTCTCACACAGGGGCCAACCTCTGGAGGGCCAACAACAGGGCAGAGAGGCCGAGGCCTTCCCCTGATAAGAACCTCAGAAGATCCCTGCTGGATCAGACCAGTGAGGGTCCATCTAGTCCAGCCTCCTGTCTCACACAGTGGCCAACCAGTTCCCCTGGAGGTCCAACAACAGGGCAGAGAGGCCGAGGCCTTGCCCGAGAAGAACCTCAGAAGATCCCTGCTGGATTAGACCAGTGAGGGTCCATCCATTGCCTTTCCCTAGTGTGTTTTTTAATATTTTTTATCAGGGGTCGTTTCGTAGAAAAAGAGCTAGGGGAACTCATTAGCATAACTCATTAGCATATGCCACACCCCCTGACATCACCGGAAGTGTGTCATAAGGCCACACACCCCCTCTTCTCCTGCCTCCTCCTGGCTGAATAAGGGCCGGAAGCGGGGCGGCCGGAAGCAGGGGGTGGGGCTTCGTCATGTGCCCCGCCCCCCGTACCTCACCCGGGGGAACTGCGATCCCCCGCGATCCCCCCTGAAATGACCTCTGTTTTTTATATTTGAATGGTCATACTTTAATTTTCACTGGATATAGGGGCTGCTTTCACTCTTCACACTGTGCTTTTTGCACTCTACATATTAATATTGGGTTTGCACACGATCCAGTACATACCCTTTTCTTTTGTGTGGCCTCTGATACTTTGGTTTCTGACAGAGGTCCCCCCCCCCCCGTTTTTTTTTTGCTTTTTCTCCCTTCCTCTGACGCTGCCTACTGACTCTGGGATGGAGAGGATTAGTGCTTCTGAATGTGGAGGTTCCCCTCAGTCACCATGGCTAGTATGACAGACTTGTCCTCCATGAATCTGTCTAGTCACCCTTTAAAGATGTTTATTCCTGTGGCCATCACAACATCCTCTGGCAGTGAATGCCACATTTTAGCCCCACTCTGTGTAAAGTAGTATTTCCTTTTGTCCATCCTGAACCTACTGCCCATCAGCTTCATTGGATGCCTTCACGTTCTAGTGTCTGGGGAGAGGGAGAAAGTTTCCCCTTTGTCTCTCTCCACCGCATGCATAATTTTATAAACCTCTATCGCGTCCTCCCTCAGTCGTCTCCTCTCTAAACTACAAAGCCCCGGACTCTTCAGCCTTTCGTCGTAGGGAAGTGGCTCCGACCCTCTTGTCATCTTGGTTGCCCTCCAAGAACTCCTCTAAGGGCCTTCATCTCAAGTTAGGCTGTGGTCACACCGTCATTTTGATCGGGTTTCACCGCTGTTCCCTCTCACATTTAAAATTGCTGATCAGACGCCCACATCCGGCTCCCGCACCAAAGTGGGCTCACTTGCACGATCCTCCCGGTTCCCTAGCGAGTTTTCCGACACCGGGGAAATCAAGGACTTTCCAGGTACTTGCGCTTTGAACCCACGATTTGCCTATCTGGACAGCCCTCTCACACAACGATTGCGATTAGGTCGTCTGAACGTTCTTCTTCCGGTATGTTTTTTGTTGTTGTTGTTGCAACTTTCACCATTGTGTGCACCCCACTATGGGGTCAGGAAGCAATCCTGGAAGGTTTTTTTTGTCATCTTGGATGGGCCATTGGCCTGATCCAACATAGGCTCCTCTTGTGTTCTTATGACCTCCAGGGTCATCTAGTCCGACTCCCTGCACAAGGCAGGAAATTCACAAATACCTCCCCCTCCACACCCCCAGTGACCCCTGATCCACACCCAGAAGATGACCAAAAAGCCCAAAAAAACCCTCCAGGATCTCCAGCCAAACTGGCCTGGAGGAAAATTGCTTCCTGACCCCAAAATGGCGATCGGCATTTCCCTGGACGTGTAAGAAAGGGCCACGAGAACTAAGCCCTGAGGCAACCCTTCCTGCCCTCCCTCTCATGATCTGCCTAAGGTCGAAGAATCCACATTGCTGTCAGACGGCCACCTAGCCTCTGTTTGAACACCTCCAAAGAAGGAGAGCCCACCACCTCCTGAGGAAGCCTGTTCTACAGGAGAGTCCACCACCTCCTGAGGAAGCCTGTTCCACTGAGGAACCACTCTGTCAGGAAGTTCTTCCTAATCTTTAGCCGAAAACTCTTCTGATTTAAGTTCAACCCGTCGGTTCTGGTCCGACCTTCTGGGGCCACAGAAAACAACTCCACACCATCTTTTAGGTAGTTGTGAATCTCCTGCCTTGTGCAGGGGGTTGGACTAGATGACCCTGGAGGTCCCCTTCCAACTCTATGATTCTGTGATTCTATTCTATGATTCTACGTGAAGCAGTGCATGGTTGCAAGCTGCGTTGGGAAGGCCCTTCCTGCCCTCCCTTCTCGTGAGCTGCCCAAGTTCACAGAATCAGCACTGCTGTTCAGATGGCCATTGAGTCATCATCACAGGCAAAGTATTAAAAGAGCAAAAGAGCATCACAATCAGTACAGGTCAGGGGTCACCAACCTTTTTGAGCCTGCGGGCACCTCTGGAATTCCGACACAGGGCGGTGGGTGCAATCACAAAATGGCTGACATGGGGGGTGGAGCCAGTTACAAAATGGCTGTCGCAAGAGGCGGAGGCAGCCTCAAAAGGTCAGGAAGCAAGGTGATATAGAACTCCAATAGTGCACCGTTTCAGGCAGAGGTACTGTTTAACAGCATGTCTTTTAATCTATGGTCGGGGACCGGCCTACCTGAGGGACCGCTTTTCCCCGTATGTTCCCCAGAGAGCACTGAGATCAGGATCCCAAAACCGCCTGGACCTCCCTGGCCCTAAGGAAGTCAGGTTGATGGTAACCAGGATGAGGGCTTTTTCGTTTGTAGCTCTGTCCTACTGGAATGAGCTCCCTGCCAAGATCAGGGCCCTGCGGGACATGTCACAGTTCGGCAGGGCCGTGAAAACAGAACTTTTCAGGCAGGCGTTCCGATAGGAGCGACGTTTTACCAGCTGCGCCCTGTAGTGAACTCCGATCCTATACGATCTAATGCAGTGGTACTGCCGAATGTGTCCTTAAATTGCACCTTACTTCTATCACCATCTAATGAATGTTTTAATGAATGTTTTATATTGATTGCTGTGTTTTCATTGATGTTTTATAATCTATTATGAATGTATACTGCTTGTCAGTTCTTGGAAGCCGCCCTGAGCCTGCCTTGTGGGGAGGGCGGGGTAAAAGTGAAATAAATAAATAAATAAATCTACACAGCCAATCAGAAGCCCTGCTGGGCAAAAGCCCCATCTAGCCCCGCCCACTTTCTAAAAGCAATTGGTGGGCACCAGGAAAGGCGTTGGCAGGCGCCATGGTGCCCGTGGGCACTACGTTGGGGACCCCCTGCCGTAGCTAATGAACGTTACCTGCAAGTATAGGATGCTATCCTTAGCAATGGCTTCCATCAGGTCTTTATTGGGAGAGGACAAGTCTCCGTTTACCCAACCGGCCTCGGCGGCAGTCTCCTGCCCTGTGTTTCTTGGCTTCGTCATCCTCTGTCGATAGAACAGCAGGTAGGCCGTGTCCTTGGGGAAGAAAGAAGTCACATTGCTCACTGACTCGAAAGACGAAAACGATACCCTGGTGTCGTTGAAAAGGTACCATTGGATCGCAACGTCCAGCGGCTTTTCTGAGGGGGCCTTCCACGAGGCGCTCTTCGGGTCGCTTCCCACAGGGGCATCTTCACACTCCCTGGCGTAACAGTAGTAATGGCCGCTCTCTGAGGATACTCCGGAATGTACCACCACGCTGCAGAGGTCGTACACTACGGACGCAAAGCCCTCACATGGCGCAGCGGGCCCAGTGCCCCTTGCCGGGCTGGGGTCGCTCAGTTCCTGGGTGGATGTCAGGACAGGTAGCTTCAACACCAACGGGACCGAGACGTTGTCGAGGATCTTCTTTCTCCTCATGGCTCTCAGGTCGAAGGAGAACCTCAGCAGGGTGAGGATGAGGTAGTGAGGCCCTTCGGTAAGTTCCGCCAGCTTCTCCGCGTCCTGAAGGGAGGCGCAGTTCTCACAGTGATACCGGTTTTCTGCCGTCAGTGTCTCGGGCGATAAGAAATAATTTATCAAGTCAGGGACGGATCTGGAGGCCCCCGTGCCGCACCCTTGCTTCCATGAGGAGAGCACCGCGTCTTTGTCAGACTTCGCGCCAACCGTGTCCCTCTCAGACCTGAAAAGGAGAGATGTCTCTTGCCCTTCTGGTCTCAGAGTCTCAACCGGCAACATTTTGGAGGGATTTTCGCCAGATGCGTGATGCTTCCCTGATCTCCTTGGCAAATCAATCGCCACCGTGGGAGCTTCGGCACTGGGCTGAAGTGATTGTGGGCCCATTTCTTCTACAGGCAAAACCGAGGTACCGTTGGGTATAGGCACGTGCTTATCTGCTGGCGGGAAAGCCAGTGAGAGATCCGTGAAGGCTTCCTCTCTTGAAGAGACTTTTAGGCACTTCAGACAACGGATTTTCGTCGTGATTTTGCCACCGAACATTTTTTCAACCAGAGTCTTGTTCGTGGAGCGCCGTTGGTCGGCTTGAGGTATCCAGGTGGACTCTTTGAGCTTCTGGTAAATTCTTCTTCCTGTTCTCTCTTCTTCGTGTAACCTTTTTTGGGGGGAAAGAATAAAATGGATCATACTGAGGAAATTCACTCCACCCCCCAAAAAAATACTACAAAACCGGTGTTGCTTAGCGACTACCATGTCCAATTAAGGCCCAATTCGAAGCTCGGTTCAAATCCCAGCGTCCCAAGAAGCAGACTGAGCAAACTCGTCGAGAAGATAAAATGGGAAAAGTGTAGTGAGGGGCTCAGTGGTAGAGCATCTCCTGGCATGCAGAAGGTCCCAGGTTCAATCCCCGGCAGCTCCAGTTAAAAGGACCAGGCAGTAGGCGATGAGAAAGACTTCTGCCTGAGACCTTGGAGAGCCTCTGCCAGTCTGACTAGACAATATGGACCTTTATGGACTAAGAAGAAGAGATTGGATTTATACCCCGCCCTTCACTACCCAAAGGTGTCTCAGAGCGGCTTACAAACTCCTTTCCCTTCCCCTCCCCACAACAGACACCCTGTGAGGTAGGTGGGGCTGAGAGAGCTCTTTCCAGAACCGTCCTTGAGAGAACAGCTCGTCAGAACTACGGCTTGCCCAAGGCCATCTAGCCAGGTGCAAGTGGAGGAGTAGGGAATCAAACCCGGTTCTCCCAGATTAGAGTCCGCGCACTTAACCACTACACCAAACTGGGTGTAATTCAGTACAAGGCAGATTCATGTGTTCATGTATACCTCTCTGAGCTTCTTCAGGAGAGAGTTGGGAAAAGGGCATGAGAAAGAGATTCTTCAGTGACTAAACTGAAATGTTACTTCACACACATAGCTGCCATTGAAAACAGCAACTGTGCATCAGTTTCTGCTCTTCCTCTTGCATGGTCTTGAAGAAATCACCCATGTCCATACAGCACAACACTGCATGTTTCTCTACATTTGTTCCACATATCAGTGAGTGTTGCTGGCTGGAAAACATACCATGCTGTGCCGTCAGGTTGCAAGGAAGTTCTAGTAAACAATACAAAAAGAACTGGGCAAAAGTGGACACACAAGGATGCCATTTTCAGCAGTAGCCGCATGCCGTAATATCCAGCCCGAGTCACCATCAGGGAGGAAAGACCAGTTATCACCGTACCTTTTTTCTGTGCAGAAACTTTTAGGTGATCCAAAAGAGTGGATTTTAAACAAAACAAAAAAATCCTGATTTCTATTTAAGTACCCATTGTAGAATATTCTGGTCTATTTCCACTTCATGGAGAACTTTTCCCTCAAATGGAAATGGCATAGTGGTGAAATGCTTCAGAATTTTGAAGGGAGGTTCCAAGAAATGATCGATTCCCCATGGGGAATGACTGAGGATTGTTGTATCTGAATATACTTTGTGGATGCTTACATATATCTTTGAAATGTTGAATCCAGCATGATTCTTGAAAAAAAATATTGAAACGGACTTATAACCGGGGGGTCCATCGAGTCAGCTGGCCGAGACACCACCGCATCCTTACAGTTCAAGGACTTTTTTGAATTTATTATTACAAATTGTTTTTTTGGAGAAAAACTGCCTGTGAATTTCTACCTGTGATTTAACTTTACCTGTGAATTTCTACCTGTTCATTTATTGTGTCATAGGAAAATTTGTTCTGGGTACTATACATGTCATATCTGTATAATTTATTAAATCACTGATTTTTGGTGTTTCAATTTGGGCACATGCTTTTTCTTCTTCTTGCTTTCATTTTGTTGACAGTTTCTGGAGGCAGAGATATGGAGCCAGAAATGTGATAATCTGAGGCAGTCCGCTGAAAGTTATTTACATATCTTAAATAAACGTACAGGAATTCACTTATTAATAGGCTTGCCAAGTCCCCCCGGGGGGCGGGGAAACCCCCGCTCTAGAGGCCCATTCCCCGCCGCAGCCGGATCGGGCCCCGGGGGGAACTCCACCCCGACGTGCACATCACCAGGAACTCTATGGTTTTCCCTCAGATGGTCGTGGCCCCGCCCCCAGCGTGCCCAGCGTCGTCACGTCACTTCCTGGTGATGTGGATGCGGCGCGCACTCCGGGATCGACCCGGGAGTTCCCCGCTCCGGAACAAGGTGAGACTTGGCAACCCTACTTATTAAGTGCCTCTTTATGTAACCCTTTATATTTATTTTATTTATATTTTATTAGTCAAATTTATATCCCGCCCTCCCCCGTAGGGCTCAGGGCGGCTTACAAGGCAAGAGAGCATATGTGGTTCGCCCCTCCTCTTTTATCCTAACAACAACCCAACGAGGTAGGATGGCGTGAGGGAGAGTGACCGGTGCAGTCGCCCCAGGTGAGTGGGAT